AAGAAAGTCAAAATAAAGAGATGTGTGTAGTCTCTTATTGTACAGTAGTCTAATAATAATTCATGGCTATTGGATATAATAGGCCATATTGGATCCGCCATCTTGGGTTTAGATAATATGAAAATCTGATCTCATAGTCGTAATCAGCGACCCGAGTAGAAAGATGCAGACTAAAATATGCAGTGGAATAATGTATGACTCAACGGTTTATACTATTTGTTCTTTTTGGAATATACGTTTTTAGGGTGACTTCAACCCTCAATTAAGGGTAGGTTTTCAATATTTCCAAAAAAAAAGATCGATGCCCTTTTGAATTTTTCACGACAATTAATACATATTTTTAGGATTTTTACATATTAATACATATTTTTAGGATTTTTTATACGCTTGTGGAATGTGCAAAAACAAGCAAAAAACTGCTGTTTTTTGCGGTTATTTTTTGCTTGGGCAAGAAAAAATACTACCGAAAGGCAGCAAACTTGTTCATTTAGAACCATTCATCAATAACGAAGGCATCATATGGACAAAGATGCGTCTGGAAACAATGGAAAACGAGATGAGAGAAAAGAGTGAATTTCAAGCCACCCCGATAATTCTAGACACGAGTCACTTCGCAACAAAACTGCTAATTAGAAATTTGTACGAGTGGTACATTAACGCGAACAATCAAACGGTTCTAAACCAATTAAATCAACAGTTCCATATCATAGGACTCAGGACTAGACTCCGATGACTTACCAAGCACTAGGTGTTGGCGGGTTCGGCAGTTATTCGACCGAACCCGCCGAGTGCCGTACTGCCTATTCGCGTAGCGTATCAACAATGACAATTCACGCATTGTGGTGTTGATTACTTTGCCTCGATGGAAATAAAGATCGGTAAGTAATGAGAAAAACGTTAGGGCGTGATTTTCACTTGCATGTCCGTGCGCGCGAAAACTTTGACTGCGAGCTCAGCAATTATGGCTGTGAAGTGACTAGCTGCTAAGATGGGATTTTCGTGACACCTCTACAGCGACAACGGAATGAACTTTATCCAAGTTGATAAAGAAATTAGAGATGCGGTTAAAGCGGTAAAAACGGACGGAAAATAATACCACTGATTCGCAGAGAAACACCTCTTCAAATAGCATTTCAATCCGTCAGACGCCCCTATATAGGGGAGCATGGGAGAGGTTGATTCGCTCCGTGAAGAACTCGCTTAAGCACACGCTCGACCTTCGCGACGCGCCAACGGAAAAAGTACTTCACACACTAATAGTAGAAATCGATGAACCCACGCGATGAAGAAGCGCTCATGCCTAACTACTTTCTAATAGGTGGCTCGTTTAGACACCTAAGGTTTAATAAATATGAAGTGGAAGCCTTCTATCCACGAAAAACTTTCGAAACGGCTCAGAATCTTACGAATCGCTTTTGGAAAAGATGGCTACATGAGTGTCTGCCGTCGTTGCTACCGCGTTCTAAATGGCATAATCTGATCGCGCCGTTTCAAATCGGTGACATCATCCTCATCGTTGACTATCAAGCGCCTTGAAATTCGTAAAGAAAGGGTCATCGAAGTTTACTTGAATAGATTTGATAATATAGTTAGCGTAGTAAAAGTGCTCACAAATAAAAAATAACTTGTGCAACCAGTTTCTAAACTCGTAAAAATATTCAATCTAGATAAAGAAGTTTGAGAAAATTAAATGAATTTCCAACCTAAGGGGAGGATGTAAAAAACGTGAAAAAAAATAAAAAATAGGAAAAAGTTGGCAAGGCACATGCCAATATTTGGGGAAATCCCAACAAGGGATGGCCCCACGTACGCAATAAATGACGGCCCAAAACACCGAACACGGTCTTTAAGGCCCACGTATGGCACAGATAATTGCGTGCACAAATCGCTGCGTGGAAAATTGTTCGCCCTCCTAGCTGCTCTTTAACCTTTAAGATTTCCTTTGTTAAGCGTAAGATTAAGAGACGATAAAAACAAATAAAGAAAGCGACTGGGTTGATTGCGCATATTTGCAATCCCATGGTATAACCGCTAAAAAAGTAGCATCCGAAGCTTTCACATCTGTCGCTGCACTGGCTCGTCCTTTGAACATGCGCGGACGCATCAAGGCGGTACCGTGGTTGTAAAGCCTACGTAGCTTCGAGCCCTTTGAATGCTTCTCTAGGGAGAATACGTGGTCCTCCCGGGCATTGCAGATCACCGGAAATGACGAAAAGGGTGATCCCATGGTCGGATCAACTGGCGAGCGTGAGAGTGAACGAGAGAAAGATTGAGAGATAATATTGAGGGCGTGTTGAACGTGCGTACGCCGCATTAATGAGAGATGAAAGAAATTTCTTAAGTCAAAAAATTGAAATCCTTGGGGCTTGCTTAACAAGATAATGATACGTAAATTACGCAAGTCATAAAGAAGAGACAAGCCAAACGATGAACTGAGCTTACAGAGACTCTTGGAAGTGTTGGAAGTATTATTTCCGAAAGGGGAACCTCGAACTAGATTTCTTAATAAATCAAGTGGTCCAATAAAAGAATCCTTTACCCTGAAAAAACTAAGAACTATAGCAAGTAGATTAAGTACCGGAAAAAGCCCAAGCTTGGACAGTATCCCTAACGAGATTTTGAAAAAAAAAATACCCAGATGTTACCGAATATCTTCAATAAATACCTAGCCAAAGAAACCTTTATGATAATATGGAGGAGATAGAAGTTAGCATTGATACCCAACCTAAGGATAAAGCGAGTACTACGATAAATTCCTAATTGTACAGACTGCTGTAAATGATTCGACAGGGAAGAAACTGTTAGAAAGATTACTCTTCAAAATATATGGAAACCAAACATATAGGCGTGTCTACGCATTGTGCTTTGAGAAAGTTCAAAAGTCTTAGAAAATCTCTACGAGCGGCCCAATCAAGGAGAATGTAGTGCCATCAAATCACTGGACGTCAAAAATGCGTAACTTTGCTAACTGAGAATCTTTAACTCCAATAGCTGGTAATGCATCTATCAATATCTCGTGAAAGAGAAGAAGATAACACAATACGAGTTATTAAAATCGTATCTGTTAAAGATATTAAATAATTATCTTAAGGACAGAAAACTACTTCAGAATGCAAGATTGTGATTTACCTTTTTGCAGGAATACCACAAGCATCAATAAAAGATCTCTTTTCATGAATCTACATGTACGATGATCTGTTGAAACTACAGCTACTGAATAATATATCGTTAGTCGGATTTGTCAACCATTTGGCGCTAATAGTGGTAGCTGAAACAGCGAGGCTAGAGAAAGTAAAATCAGTGAAACTCTAGAACTAATTACTAAATTATTCTGAATTATAATTATACTGAAATTATACTGCAATTAAACTGGAAATAATTAGTGGAATAATTATTGAACGAAACCGTTAATAGTATACACGACATTGTCTCAACCCATGCCAAACATAGGAGGATCATGTTCAACGTGCAAGAAGTTGCTGTAAATAATTGTAGAGACAATACAACTACACGGGACATCAATTTGGACAACTATAGTTTTGCCAGCAACAGTTAATAAGCATAAAGGTACATTACAGCGCAAGATAAACCAACGCATAATAAATGCATGGCATTTAAGGTCAAGAGACGCGGCCAATGTGCTTATATTCCTTTATCTATGGTAATTTTAAGATGGAATACCGATTAACACATAGCGGTCATATTATTGACTATCATCATATTGACTGTTTCGAGACTTATTTAGTCAAGAAAGAAACGTGCGTACGCCGCCTTGAGCCCGAATAAGAGCAAGTTGCTTTCCTTGCGGCGTTTACTGTGGAGTTACTGCGTTTCTTTACTTTCGTTAGTTACTCGTTTCATATTTTCTTGTATTTCGAACTATAATTTCTTCAACGCACTATTGTCTATCAGTAATTAAAATAAATAAAATGACTAGTTATAAGCATATTCTTAAAGAATTATTTCTACTATACCTCGCCCCAATCAATAATAAAATATCTTGTAACGCCACCGTTACTATCTGTCGGTTCCGCAAACATCTGCCAGACGGCCATACACACCCCTGATCTGGGATAACCATACGCATTTAACATACCCGGCCGATGCCCTCCAGGGAAGGCAGGCTAGAGCATTGCAATATCCCTTATAAAGGAAAGACGATACTTCAAGCCACGGTGACTGGGTGATTTCGTCCCACCCACCACTTTTGGTGAATCCCAGAGAATTAACCCTTTGAATCCCCCCTTAAGAGCGACCACTCACGTGACCATCTGATCGGCGGGTAAGCCTTAGCTTACCGGACTGACTCACCCGTTACTCTGAGGGTGGGGTGACCCCGAGTCGATTAGTTGCCACGAGTTGTTGCCGACGATCAACACGATACCGATCATCAACGTGGTCACGCTCTCGTAATTAGGCGCGCTTTACCGATTTCTCAGTATCAAATCCAAATTATCCTCACAGAGCTAGTAGCAGTCCGAGTAGACTCACGGCTGTGGGGGTTACCCCGCGCGTGGAGATATGCTGCGTTAGAGACGCCACCTCTGCCGCATATCTATCTCTAGCGTTACAATCTTTTGAAAGAAATAAATATTGTACTGTAGTTTTCCTTGATGTAGCTCAAGCCTTCGATACAGTTTGGTATGAAGGCCTCAGTAAAATTTGTAAATTCAAACTCAGTAAAATCTTACCTGAAAATTCATGATATTGAATTTATTTATTGAAAATATATTTTTGTTAAAACTTTTGAACTGAAAACAATTTTTCCAAAAAAATTTCAAATAAAGATTTATTATAAGCTTTTTTTCTTCCACTCAAGGTATCAATTAATGGTTTGGATTGCAATCATGCAAATCAATTAATAGTTTAGTTGCAACACAGGTGAGCTTACATATAGCTTGTTTATAAGCATTGGCATACACGCATTTATATTTGGCCTTTTATGTATTAGTCTCCATGGTTTAGTATTAATTACGTTATAACTAATGGGCTTTGAGATCCTAACAACTTTTATTTATAGTATTTTTTTTGTAGTTTAGTATTGATATAATTGCTACAAGACAGATTGTTCTCTCTCTTTTTAATGACAATTTATGAAAAGTTCTTTTTTTCATTTTTCGTAATGTTCATTAGTTCATTTATTACATGAATACACTTTAACATCAGTTATGTAGTAACAAATAAATATAAAAGTCCTTTTATAAATTGTATAATTTCAGAGCGACCTAATTTTGATTCACCATAAACTCTATCGACAAATGATATTGGTACTTCTCCTATAGTATAACCATACTGTTTTGCTCTCACAATTATTTCCATCTGAAAAACATATCCTTTGGATACACAAGACTGAATTAATTTTTCTAGAACTTCTTTTTTATACAACCTGTAATAAAAGTATATTCAGAAATTTTTAATATATAGAACAAATTATAATCATAGAAGATTCGTAAAGAAAGTAATTTTCAGTACCTGAAACTTCCTGTAAGATCACTTACTCCAGGTCTTAATAAGACTTGTGTTATAAAATTAGCCCCTCGACTTATAAGTTTTCTTTTAAAATCCCAACCATATACTCCTCCATTTCCATTATATCTCGTTCCAGTTACTATATCAAGATTCTTTTCTTCTTGTTCTTTAATCATTTGAGAAATGAATTTGGGCTAGAATCATGGAATAATTTCTATATTAATTTAATTTTTTCATCAGATTGTAAATTAAATAGTGCTGCATTGATTGATTTAATTATCTAATGCTAAAATACAATGTTTTCATCGTCAGTGAAGTGTATTTCAAGAAATGAAATTATTTATTCGTTTTAACAAACAAGCTACAAGAATATTGTTTTAGTAGAACGTTTAAAAATGTATGACAGATTGTATATATGTATGTATATACGTATGTACATATTTATCCATATTTGTATGTATATATGCTTATGTATGTGCACGAAAGTATGCAAGTAAATATAAAAAATGCATTTTTTACAGTCCCAAAATCGCGAAATTTGTTTACAATGCTACACCTTTCCGATAAATTTTTTTTTGTTTAATATGCAGATAATCAAAAGTGCCTGTAAAGAGTAAAAAATTTCGCTATACTATATTTTGCTGTGTACGGAGAATCGCGGCATGGCCGCCGTTCTGCCGTCGGGTTTTCGCCGAGATCTACGAGTCGTGTCAAGCTGCGAGTGTGTTCGTTGAGAGCACATACTCATGCTTGCCTTTTCTTAGTTAAGGTACAGCGTTAGGACAAACGGCGAAGGAGGACATAGGCGGCAGTAGAAGAAGAGTGAGGAGAGAGAGAGAGAGAGAGAGAAGCAATACAACACAATTTTCAAATGCTTATTAGTAAGTTTTGAAGAAGTCTGGATAAGTTCCAAAATATGTATATGATATGTATGATAAGTACTTCATATAATAGTATATATGAAGTACTTTAAGTATAATAAAAGTATTAGCCGATAATTAACGACCAATAAATTAACAGATTACTTCTAAAATTTTTACTTTTTGGATTAAATCCATTTTTAATTCTCGTGTTTAATGCATAGAAATTCGAGTTATGAGTATCTTATTTAATATTAAAAATATGTGTCAACAAACACTTGTTCCATGATAAATAACAACTCTAACGACTTTCATTTAATAATATTTTTAATCTACACATAACTAAAGGTCTGGTTTTTCACTTCTAAAACTTTTAACATACTTTAATCATGAAATCAGTAATCCCATCGTATACCCTACGAATAAATATATGGAAATATATAAAAAAAAAGTAAATTATTATTGAATTTAACTCATTAAATAACTTTAAATTAAAAAATATTAAAAAATTATAAATCAATAACATTTTAATCATCTGTTTGAACAGCTTGATCAATTCCAACTTGACATGCTGCAGAAGTCATTCCATTAATTGCAACAGTGCAATTATTGAAAATAAATGTGTTATTGCATTTCTCATCATGGTCATCTAATATATAAAGTCCAATATCTGGATCATAATAAACTTGTTTTAACACATTAGGTCCCATTTTTGAAGTTATTAGTGGTTTATTATGAAGCGATGTCTGTGGTTCTCTTTGATGAGGTATATTGATATTTCATCCATCGAAGACTCACGATGTGATGTCTGTGGTTCTCTTCGATGAGGTAGATTTGATATTTCATCCATCGAAAACTAATAATGTGATATCTGTCTTTCTCTTCGATGAGATGGATTTGATATTTCATTCATCGAAGACTCATAATGTGATGTCTGTGGTTCTATTTGATGAATTTGAGCTATAACTTGTATCATCTTGCTTTTAAAACACTCACTAAAACTTGAATATTGTGGCTGGACTTGATTAATTTTGTCTGCAAGTGGAATTCTGGGTTGACATTTCCCTTTATTCGAAGAAACTGTTTGTGCATCTTTACGAATCAGTTTGGCCTTAATTCTACTATTTATGTTTTGAAAAGATATTCTTTTATTGTTGAGTGACTCTAAACAATCAATTGTAGATTTTAGCATCGAATATGTAGAGAATAGGCGGCTAGGAGCATATTTATTTGAACGTTCAGAAAAATAAGCCAAAAGTACATCCTGACAGAACGAGTTTATTTTTTGTTCCCTACACCACTTTTTGAAAGCATTATAACAACTAATGTATAACCTTTTTAATTTATCGGGTAAAGAATCTAAAGATATCTTATCGGTTTTTTGTCTAATAGCTTCAGGCACAATTTCATTGTCATCACTATCACTACTAGATGAGTTCATTGTTTGTAATTGCTCAGCCATCAAGATGGTGGGATCAATTAAACTCATTTGCAACTATTATACGTAAGAAATACGAAAGAACAGCAACACAGTCAAGTCATAAAGACAAGAAAACTATGTAGGTAAGACAGAGAAGAGAGAATCATATGATAAAGCAGCATACTCGAAGGTAATATGCATCTTTCGATCCTGTCTACTAATTATTTTACACTCGGGAGGGCCTGCGGACCCCCTCCGAATCCTCCCACTCACCCCTCTAACCCACCCCTCTCTTTCATAAATCATCCTATTGGCGAATTTATGCCATACGAGCTATAAAATAGTAATATACTATTATCAAACTCCTCAAAATGCTCATTTGTAACCTCTTAGTTGGATAAAAATCTTTAATCTGCAAGCTAAATTTTCATGTCAGGAAACAAAAAATAATCGATACGGGCAAAATCTGGAGAATAAGGTAGATGAGGAAGTATTTTGTAGCGTAAATCAAATAATTTGGTCGTTTCAATGGAACTCGTGTGAGCTGGTGCATTGTCGTGGTGGAAAATACTATTTTTTTACCAAATGGAGCCGCTTTTCCTTCAGTATAGCATTAAATCGGTCTCATAATGATACATAATATTCTCCTATAATAGTTCTTTCACTCTGTTCGTAATCGATTAATATTATACCACTTGAGTCCTAAAAAATTGTAGCCATGACTTTTCCGGCCGATCGTATCGTCTTCACTTATTACGGCGCTGATTCACCTGGTCTAGTCCACATTTTCGACTAATTTTTCATCTTTGACATATAATAATGAATCTATATTTCATCAACAGTAACATAGTGTCGCAAAAACTTCTTTGGATAACGTTGAAATATGCTCAAACATTGCTGAGACACAACCACACGAACTTGCTTGTTATTAGCTGTGAGCAAGCGTGGCACTCATCGAGCAGACAACTTTCTCATACCCAAATATTTATGTAAAATGTTCCATGTGCACTCTACTGAAATATTAAGAGTCTCATTAATCTCATGCACTTTCAATCAAGGATTGACAATATCATGAACTTTATAGAACATGTCTTGAGTAGTCACTTCTTTTGCATGGCCAGGACCCTTATTGCTAGAAACTTTTGTGAAAAAACAAATCAAAGCTCTTCAATCCTACTTTCCGATAAAAGAGCTTACTTGGGCTTTTAATGACCATAACATATCAAAAAATTCGGAAAATCGACAAAAAGTTCGTTTTTGTAGATTTTTGTATAAGAAAAAGGCACTATAGAGGTTAGGAAATATTTTTTCTTCTTTATAATCATTACTAGAATCTTTGATTTCAACCATACTAATAAACTAAATTGATTGGCGTTTACTATAAAGCAATATATACGTATAAATGCCGAGCGTATAAGTATGAAAATTTTGAAAAAATGAAAAAAGCTTCTTTCGTCAATTGAAACATATTAATAGCTTTTTAATCCGATTTTTATAATTGCTTTTTTAGTTTTAGGATACATATATACGGTTTCCGTAATAAGAGCCGGTATTTAAGTATTTTGGAAAATAACGGTTAATCTTATATATATATATAGGGTGTTTCATTTCAATCCGACCACGCGTATAACCTAGTAAAAATAAACGTTATCAAAAAATGACCTCTGCAAAAGTTGCAGGGGACAGAGGGGTCTACCAAATACTATCATCAAGTTTGACCTTTAATACGTTTTTCAAGGTCATCTGAAGGTCAAAGTGCTTTTTTGATGGAAATCCGTATTTTTGACCCCGGAATCCTGTAGAGCGGGAAAAATTACATCGAAAATGATATTTCAAGTTTGTATTTGTGACCAGAGTAAGTCAATTAAAGGTCAAATGCTCAGAAAACTATTTTTCTCATACCGATGTCTATGTAAAATTTATTAAGTAAATTAATTAATTCTCTGATTCTTCATTATGAATTTGTCCCCTATTTATTATTGAAGTAAATAATTTTTTCAGTTAAAAATAATTTTTCATATTGACTTTGACCCTTGCTTATTGTTACATACAGTTTATATTTAATATAGCACTACTTATTGAATAGTTGAACTAATTAAATTTCTTTTGTTTAACCTTGTTTTCTTCTTAAATTTAATAGTCGCAGAAAAATTATCTCGTTTTTTTTTACTTTGTTATAATCAAAATTTTCACTATTGCTGATTACCCAGCGGCTGAAAGGGTTGATATTCTATTGGTTCTTGGTGAATGTAGGCGTAATTACCGACAAGCTGCTGCTGTTTATCGAAATCGATATCCCGACAAAAGGGCTGTATTATTCAGAACAGTAGAATAATTTCAGCAACGAATACAATTATGTATTCAAGAAAATGGTAGTATCTTTAAAAACCTACGTTGAATTCTGAAGAAAAGTGAGAGCCAAGGGGACTCACTCTAATCAAGCACCCCAAAGGGAACACAATCCTATTACGTCCACGTCGTTATTCCTGGGCGATGCTAATGGTAGGATAAAAATTTGACCTTCAAATGACCTTGAATATCAATAATAGGGTTCAGGACATTGTCACATTCAAAATGTATATTTTTCCATTTTCGGATCCTTGATAAAAAAAATTTTCTGTTACAACAAGCACTGTGACTTCCATGTTATATCGCGACTACGTAGCCGTGACGTGTGATTTTAGAATATGTATGATCATTCATTTGTTAATAATTATTATTGTGACAGGAACTTACCTGGGTTTATTATTTCGAGTTAAATTGGCTGCTTAGCTCTATCTCGATGAAGTATATGTGAAGTCGGTCGGTAATGATGCACGAACACTCGATTCAAGTAATTAATTATTTATTCAAAGGACAGAAATGATTTCTCAAAAATAACAATAGATAAATTGTACGTTATTCGGCCGTCGCG